TTCGCTCACTCAGTTTTTCCAGAAAAAAATATTGTTACTGCGAAAAATGACAAGAGAACATTGAAAAACGTTTCAACGCTTTTCGCTCAAATCGGACTAAGAAAAGCATATAAATACGATTTTCAATTTATTTCTAAATATATCTTAATTATCTTATGCATATCTTTTTGTTTAAAGTACCGAAGCTGATCTATGTAAGAGTTCAAATTTTAGTTTTTAGGCTTTTGGACCTCAGTGGAGTTCCTTTAACATGACTTCTAGACCCTTTGACACTTAGACCCCTTTTTACATGACTTTTCGACCCTTATTGGGTAAGACATTTCGACCCCTATATATTAAATACATGTACAAGAAGGAAGTTAAAAATGTTTTACATCTTCAAATGATTTTTTAATTATTAATGTCCTTGTGAACGCTTTTATTACATAAGTGGCTCTTAACTGTTGGCTGATGACGGAAATTGGTTGTAAATTTCTCACGAAGATTTTGCTGAGTACGGTGACAACACTTCACGTCAAATAATGCATTTAATACAAACATTGCTGCAGTAAATTATGACTAGATTTCGCAATGAAATGCATAAAAGGAAAAAAAAACAATAGAGATTTGAAATGTTATTGCGTAAGATTTTGTTATTTTTTCATTCTTAGTCGATTTCCTGTGTACTCAAAGACAACATGGGGAACTCTACCATACAATATAAATGATTTAGCCAATCAGTATCGTCTGTCAAAAAGAATTTTTTGTGAACAAATGCGTTCTTAAAGGCACATTATGCCTTAAAAATGCATTAATTTTATTTCTCAAAAACTGTTTACTTGCAGTTTCTTGTTACAGTTTCCAAAAATCATACTCATTAGCCTTAAACATGAACTGGGACCGAAAATATTAAGTGAGCCGTGTTATGACAAAATCAACATAATGGGTTTGCGACCAGCATGGATCCAGACCAGCCTGCGCGTCCGCGTAGTCTAAGCAGGATCCACGCTGTTCGCTTACCAACCCTATTAAATGTAGAGAAATTCATAGCGAACAGCATGGATCCTGATCAGACTGCGCGGATGCGCAGGCTGGTCTTGATCCATGCTGGTCGCAAACCCATTATGTTGGTTTTGTCATGACACGACTCAAGTGTATTTTTGGTCCCAGTTTGCAGGAAGTTGGTATGATTATAGTGAATTAGTATTTTGTATGGAAGACAAATTGCTACCTTGTTTACACTTTGCTACGACACATGACTGCATATTCAGTGCTACTTAAAAATTTTAAGTTGTGTAACATCTAACACACACTCAATCCATTATTTCAACATTATTAAGAACATATTTTACTTCTAAAGAATAAAAAAAATATGGATATCTGAGAAGTACACTGATATGACATTACTTAAAATGGCAAGTGCCATTTCTTCGATAGGCCTTTTAGTTTTATAACAATTACCATTTATTAATTAATGCTTGTCTAATTTGACTTTCAATACTGGTTCTACGGGGAAAAAAAGCAAAATATACATATACATGTATTAAATGATGATGAAATATGAAAATTGTTTTGTTTCATTTGAAAACTATAAAAATGGTTAACCAATTACACAACAAGGCCACAAGTTCCCACGACTTAAACGACTTAACTATCTCGTTGCCATGATAAAGAAACTCGTGGCCTCGTTCCCACGACTTAATTATCTCGTGGCCACGACATAGTAACTCGTGGCCACGACATAATTTAAGATCTCGTGCGGCCTGCGCACGAGATAAAACACACACACACACATGTCACCTTTGTGTCACCGTACCTTTGTGCGACCGTATATAACACACAAAAACTACACACAGGCAATAAATATACTTTAATTAAGACCAATCAAACTAAAGAGAACTTATACTGGGCCACTTCAAAAATTAATAGAACTACAACGGGTTGGATCTAACTCAGTACCGGAGTGACACCATTGGCCGCTGAACATTTAACCTACTTGCCGCGCAAGTGTACGGTACGGCACGGATGAAATTTACCAATCGCAACTTTCCGCACTTTCCGTTAGTCTTCGGATAGAAATATAATAGCTGAGGATGTTTCGGTTCGTAATTTACCGGTATTCTAAACCCAACATTTATAGGTACTACATGTGTTGTTGTTGTTGTTGTCGTTGTTGTTGGTAACATTTTCGGGGTCCGTACTCGACGCCGAAAACTTCTTTCTGTGCCATGCCGGGCTAATGGACCTTCATTAAACATATATATCATTCATTCAACAAGCCTACTGTTTGCAATAGATTTTGTTCTCTTTACTTTCTGCATGTTTTTCAATGAAAAGGTCTTTCATTTTTACAAGATTATTGAAAACGATGTGTTTTTAAAAGTGCACATTTCCTAACTTCACATACATCTAATATAGAATATTTGTTTTAATTTAATAATGATATAAATTCGCTACAGAAATAATAAACGTTTTGAACATCGGAAAGTAATTTTCGTATTTAACAAGAAACCGAGCTTTTTTAAAATCGGCCGAAAATCTGATTATTCGATACAATCGGCACAACTCGGTTATTATTCATAAAGTTCTGAAGTTTGTCGGAACGGTGGGTTTAGCCTACGGTTGGTTGGAGATTCTAATCACGTGCCCGCTTGCACGTGAAACAAGCGCGGAGTTCTACGTGCAAGCGGTCGTCATCCGCCCGAAAAGCTTGAGCACCCTAATACGCATTGAAGGCCTAATGAGTCCTGTAGTTTAATAATAGACCTATACGTACCACTTCATATATAATGAACACATATTTAGTTATTAAAGATATACTGTGAAATGCTTTCAATGCAGAAATTTATTGAACTCTAGTAAGTTCTCCCTGAATATATCTCATTTCAATAAGTGAATGTATGAGCTATATTCGAAAAGCTCTAATCAAATTAATATTGTCTACAATTAAAAAACCCAACAAACTGCCAGTTCTTTTAATGACAATATGATTACCTGCAGTGTATTGAGTTAAAACAGTTCTTATTTTCTTTTTTTGTATTAAAAGATATTTAACCCATTACTTCATGAGCATTTTGTGAAAAATGGCTGTTTTCATTGAAAAGTCTCCCGTTACAAGTTCAAATTGCTATAATACTATAAAAACTGCTTCAACACTAATCAAACTTGGCACAAATGTTGACTGGACCATTGCACTTGCAACAACATGCTCAGGCTTAAATTTTCTGTTACCATGGCAACGAGGGGACATCTCAAAATTGCCAAAAATCACTATTTTGCGTTGATTTTTTCCATCAAAATTGATTTCAAAGTGCTGCACTTTCTCAATGGATTGAGATAGAGTCAAATGCTTTTCAGCGTTGGTTACACGTTACCTTATGATCAATCTGGGGTCATTTACAGCCTCTCACAAATCCAAAATTTTTCTTGGCGATGAGGGGGACTCCGCCCCCCTTCAACCCCCCCAAACAGAAGGGGGCACATCCCCCTTCTGGCAACCCCCTGATGTATCTTTTGGTTGGGGGCCGCGCCGAAAAAGAGGTCACTTTTTTGAACAACATTTCTCAAACAAAAACAAGTGTTTGGGGCCTAAATAAGGCATTTTTTCATCATTTGAGACAACAAAAGGGGGGGGGGGGTGAAAAAGGCGTTAAAAGGCGTGTATATGAAGTAATGGGTTAACTGAAAATGATGAAAATACTTGAAATTACCCTAAATCGCGTTTTTTCATGTTTAAACATGGCCTGTCATATAAATTTGAAGAAAAATTGTTGTTTTGTAGATTTTTTATTTTTTTCATTAACCCATTACTTCATGAGCATTTTGTGAAAAATGGCTGTTTTCATTGAAAAGTCTCCCGTTACAAGTTCAAATTGCTATAATACTATAAAAACTGCTTCAACACTAATCAAACTTGGCACAAATGTTGACTGGACCATTGCACTTGCAACAACATGCTCAGGCTTAAATTTTCTGTTACCATGGCAACGAGGGGACATCTCAAAATTGCCAAAAATCACTATTTTGCGTTGATTTTTTCCATCAAAATTGATTTCAAAGTGCTGCACTTTCTCAATGGATTGAGATAGAGTCAAATGCTTTTCAGCGTTGGTTACACGTTACCTTATGATCAATCTGGGGTCATTTACAGCCTCTCACAAATCCAAAATTTTTCTTGGCGATGAGGGGGACTCCGCCCCCCTTCAAACCCCCCAAACAGAAGGGGGCACATCCCCCTTCTGGCAACCCCCTGATGTATCTCTTGGTTGGGGGGCCGCGCCGAAAAAGAGGTCACTTTTTTGAACAACATTTCTCAAACAAAAACAAGTGTTTGGGGCCTAAATAAGGCATTTTTTCATCATTTGAGACAACAAAAGGGGGGGGGGGTGAAAAAGGCGTTAAAAGGCGTGTATATGAAGTAATGGGTTAAATTACATTTCAAAAGATACTGTGTAGTACTTGCCAGATTTTTTTCTTCTTCAAAATTTCAAATTTGAGCATAATTTATTTTTCAATGTTTATTTGATATTTAACCAAAAAAAATCATGAAGCATTCCATTGTGTCCGTCAATCAGTACGTGCTACTGTTGTTGATTATGGATTTGACTTTATCATAGTTTGTTAAGAGGTTTGCGGTTAACAAGAACTACTTTTATTTTCGACATCTTAATCGCTTTACTTTTACTTTCTAGGTCCTGATTGACTTTATGTATTGTAAATATTGTTTGTAGCCTGGAGGAAAGTCCGTACTCAAGACATAAGTAGATCCGGTGAGGAAAAAAACCCACCACACAATAAAACATGCATTTTCCTAAATTATCCAGATATATTTTCCGTGTTTTTTAAATTTCCTTTTGTCTTCCAGCTGTTGTCATTATTGTGTATTTTGTGTCATCATCAGTGTACAATACAATTATATATCAACGCATCCTTAAGGATGTTAAGTGTATTCAATTGTTCACTTAAAATAGAGGACACTTATAATCATATCTCATGTTTATCTTAAGTGACGAGAATTAACAAACAAAAAAAACTAAACGGAATTTCCGAAAAAAACGCTTGTCTTTTGTTTCATTCCCACTTCTTTTTAATTTCCTCAATTGGGTATATATATATGGATAGAAGTTAAATTGCTAATGGACCAGTCTGTGATCTAGACGCTTGCAAGTTCACTCATTTTTTTTGGTCAAGACTGAACTATGGGATCGAAGCTGTTTATCTTGTTCGGCTGTTTAGCGTATGTTACGTGTCGTACTGTAACACTGGAGAAAACTTCGCTTTCGCTGACCGAGAATTCCGAAGGTAAGCATTTATTTTAAGCTAGCTTTGTGGATTATCTTTCATAGAAAACTATTTATTGTAATTTTATGATTGTTTATTCTATGAAGCATTTCAAATCATAAAATGATTTAGCTTCTAATTATTTTAATTATAGTTCTTTTTAATACTCAGCGGCGGCCTTAAGTAAACTGTTTCTTAAACCGGTGAACATTTCAGAACGAGCCATTTCATGTTTATCAAACTCTTTATCAATCAGTCGGGCTTATCGCATGTAAAAATACAGTAAAGAACTATCTTAACATTTCAGTTTATTTATGTTAAAACAATTATTTGTAAGTGCGGCACGTGTTTCAATGAAATAGTAACAAGTATTTGGATAACGCATTGTTAAAGAAAGCAAAAAAGTTTTTTTTTTTTTCGAAAACAATTTATCATAATATCTTTTTAAATCAAGGCATTTATTCATTTGGAAGAATTCAGAACATTTTATTTCTTATTTATGAGTTAAACGCCAACAAAAAATGCAATTGAATATAGAGGATATTGAATGAATGTAGTTTTTATACTAAATTCATTGAACGAGCTGAATAAAAGTATATTAAACAAGCCTTTAAAACAAACAACAGCTGCAAAAAGTCCTCTCGCATGTTTGAATTCAAGCAAACTTGTTTTTTTTTTGGTATTATTGAAATATTCCGTTTTATGTTGATGATTTCTATATCATGCACCTATGGATCTCTTTAGTACATATGGAGCTTAAATGGAATTTTGACCGCCAATTCCTATATTCTGAGCCCATTGTCAATAAATGTTTCATTTACGGTTTGTTTGAATGTTAACAAAAATGGGTTAATATGAATGATAGCCAGGGGGTAGAATCACATTTCGATTTTCTTAAAAAATGTTTTGAATTTTATGTGAATGTTTAAATTATTGAAAACTTACCCTGTGATTTACCTTTCACACATCGAGTTAAAGTGCACATCTGGAGCAGCGAAAATTCACATATATTTTTTACCGATGCTCAATTTTGAGATCCATTAGGTTCCATCCCCGTGCCTTGGTTTATGTGATAAATTACCGTTATCATCTGCTCAATGACGTAATGACACACAGATGTTGCTAATTATATGCCTCCCTGGTTTCAAGTACTTTCAGTCCTTTGATTTATAGTTAAATTTAGATTGAACAGATATAATTTTATTATGTATAAGAGTACTTAAACATGTAAAAACAAGTTACTTTATACGAAATATACAACTCGCATTTTGATCTTGTTCAAAGTATACAAAATTATAAAACTGTACAACGGTAACCTACATATAGTGTTCAGCTGTGACACCCGTCGGATATACCGACGGTTGATTAACATGTAATCAAGTGACAAGTTATCTGGTCAATGTTAATAGTTCGGCCGTGGGTATCCGACGATGGTGTTATGATCACAGACGCTGAGGGGTCAGACCCAAAGTGTACAGCCCTGTAAACAGTTATCAAAAATAGTTTAATATTTAAATACGAATGGTATCTCTGTTACAATGGTAAAACTGGTTTTCAAACAATATTTACATAGATAAATACTATAATATTACATTATTTATCACCAAGTCTCACTTCAGTGCTTTATTGTGGTGATGGAACATTCTCTTAGTGAAAAAGAAAATCAAAAATGCAAATATTAATGTTACTTTTCATTATAAAGATCCCTACGAAAAAATAATCTGAAGTAATGTACATTCAAACATTTGTTTTAATTCAGATGCCGATGATTTAGGTGAAATTCTTCAAGCGTTTCTGGGAGACCATGACATCACTTCCGGTCTACAAAATGGCGACGTTGGTGGCTGCAGCAAAGGGAAATGTCAATTTTGCAAGAAAGTAATGAAACATGATGGTGAGTGCAATAAGAATTTTCATACCAAACAAAACAAATGAAAATAATGATAAAAGTTTCGGAAGATTGATCTGAAGATATGTTAGGACTTTGTCAATCTACGAATTGGTTATTTTTCTGACTTAATAATAATTATTGCTGAGAACCAGTCCCTCCTAGAGTAATATAATGGCTATATCCTGGATTAGACCCCGGGATCTAAACCAGGAGTATTTATAAGGTTCATTCAGTTTTCTTTAGTGTATTATATACAAGTTTTACTCAAGAAAAATACATAGGGGTCTAAACCAGGAAATTGCCAATATAATTGATTCAACAAAATAACATATTAATTTCCACTTCAATAAGTGAAAAATATCAGAAGATAGAATAACTTATTGTTTAATTGTACCTGGGAGTAAATTATATCGGCTACATACGTAGTATTCAACAACACTTCGACGATTATTCATAATCCGAAGATTAACGGAAAGAGACGAAAAGTTTTTGACGAAAATAAAAAAGAGAAGTTTTATTGCCCTCGAGTAAATGCTGTGTTGCTAAACATGCTTATGTTAATTTAAAGTAATCTGTAGCGTAACGCTTCTTTTATTTTCATTTGGGAAATTAATGCAAGGAATTAAAAAAAATGATAAAAAAAATATAAAAAAAATGATGAAACTTTACCCAAATCACTATCTGACTAAAAAAGTCAGATTGCCCAAAGCACACATGCGGTGGTTTGGCATTGTTCACTTGCATTATTTTATGAGGTAACGCAAACATACACTTGTTGTGCAACAAGCCCGTGAAAATATTTGATATATATATATTTAACTTTTTGTACTACTTTTCCTTTCATTTATATTCCAGCATGCTTCATAGCCAGTTTGGGCAAAAACTCTATCACAATAGAGGTGACGCTTAACAAAAAGGACGTCATGAAAAAGGTCATCACAGGTAAATGTTCTATTAAACTTTATTCCTTCATTATGTATACTGTACACACATTATTATCGCTATTTGCAAAATTCAGAAAACTGTGTAATAGTGACACTTACCCGAAATAGGACAGACACAGAGCTCTGACGGTACACAAAGCTCCACAAGTCTAGCGATACACAAAGCTCCAAGTCCAACAAAAAGGCAACTAAGACTTTATAATACTGACAAGACGGTTTTTGTCCGCTTCTCCAAACGATTTGTCCAATTATTCTTGAACCATATGATACATTAATTCATTAAGCTTTGGTCAAATATGGCTTGAAAAGAACATTTATATGCATAAATCTATTACGACATTATGCCTGACTAGGTCAATGAATTCGTAC